TAATTATATTAAATAATTTCATAAGCTGATACTTATCGTTAGCACGGCCATTTGGGAATTTTATAATAATGAAATAATTTCTTAGGATATGAGTATAATTCTTACATTCAAAACTCTAAGAAATTATTAACATCCAAAGTAAGAGAGAAAAAATGTTTTAACAACAAAAGACGGAAAATAAATGTTTAGGAAGTTTTATGTAAGTTTTCTTGTGCCTTCGAAGATTATGATTATTGTATATACAGATAAAAATATCGATCAGAACAGCTTAATCATTTCTTGGGAAAAAAAAAATAAAAATTAATGAAAATTATGTATAAGATTTTTTCTCTCTTACTTTCTTTGGAGTTTTAAATGTAAGAATTATACTCATATCCTAAGAAATTTTGTTATTATTATGAAATTCCGAAATGGCCATGCTAACGATAAGTATCAGCTTATGAAATTATTTAATATAATTAGTATTAAAAAAATGTATTTCGATGTATAGGGAAAAAAAGGTTTGTTAATATTATTTATAAATTTCAATAAAACATAAATAAAAAGAAAATAAACTAGAATGATGAATCACGTTAAAAAAAAAAATTTGCCGACAGTTGGAATCGATCCTCAGATTGCAAAACAAGAACAGTAGTGGCACAAGCCCTTACTACCTTAGCTATCGAAACTTCGAGGGGAGGGAACTTTAAAGTCACATATGTTCATCCATAACCTCCAGGGCTTGTCCTACAGTTTATGACAATTACATATAATGAGGAAAAATAATTAACCAGTGGTTATAGCTGAACTGTTATCCTAAAAAAAATTAAGCTGCTTATATTTTCAAAATAATACTACATTTCAAATTAAGTATTAACATACGGAAAAAAAAATGTTTTGATATCAAATTCTGTGCATATAATTATATGAGCATTTAATTTCACGATTTAATCAAATGTAAGATTGATAGATATCATTCAAACAAGAGCGAGAGAGTAAGAGTCAGTTAAATATATATAGCAGATACTTGGTTGCAGTCAAAAGAAAAAAACTCATGTCGTCGCTTGCTTTGGCTGTGTGCTCAGATATATAGCTATAGTCAACATTTCCACTCCTCTCCTCGTAGGCACACATTCGGTATACCCCAATACCCCTTCTACGTGTTGCCAAAATGTGCGCCTATATGCTCATTTCCACGCGAATCCACTTCTCTTCTTGTAGGCGCACGCTCTTCGATACGAGTCTCGCACTCTCGAAAAATATGCGCCTTGGTTCGACGGCTGGCCGCGGAGGGTCGCCCCGATCAGTGGAAAAAAGTCGTCTCACGCCGTAGCATTGGCGTTAGCAATCTGTCTACTCATCTCTGCTTATGTGCCAACAAGTGTTGTATTTTTGCTTAACTATCTCATAGTATATTTATTAAATATGGTAGCCAAGTCCATAGTTAGTATTTCTCATTTTTGATTTTCACGTCATGCTTTAGCGGCTCGTGATAATCAACTACTACGGGTTTAAGTGAAAGTGTCAATCCAGCAGTTATGAAAATTTAAAAGATTGTGTCAATCCAACACTACTTAAAAATTTAAGAAAAAGTTTTGTGTAAATAGCAAGAAAAGTGCTCAAAGTAAAGAAAATTTTAGAAGATTAGGACAGGAAAGAAAAAAACAAAATATCGAACAAAGTTAAGATTTAAGTTTTTAATGGAAAACACTTTGAGTGTTGGAAAAGATGAATTATGACGATTCTATAACTGAAAACATGTGACGTAGTAGCAAGGAGAGTCATGACAAAGACGTATAAAGAAGACGAGTGGATTGAAAAGGACTTGAAGGCGATCTATGTTATTTATGGTGAAACTTGAATCGATCCATTACAGTTTGTTGAACACAAAGAAACAGCATACAAAAAAATGAATAAATTTGATTAAATATTCATAAATAAGTCTACTGCACCACAAATTTGTGTTACAAACAAGTTTGAAAAATCGTAGGTCAAAGACTTTGAAAATTCAAGTGCGTTTTGATCTAAGTTTTAAATAATAACTAAAGAGTTAAGAAAGGGCTGGTCCAAAGGTAACTGAAAAAAAAATCAGTATAATAACATGATAAATATACTTCTCAGTTCATTAAGTTAGAGTGGTAATTTAATGATTGTGTTAAAGAATGTGATCAAACGGTTAAATACGTGAGAAGTAAAATAGAAACATTTAAATTAAAAAAAAGGAAGATGGAAGCAAATACCATTCAAGTGCAACGAAAACTTAGAAAAAAAGCATATTTCAAGTGCGAAAAATGTTAACACTTCAAGGAACTATGTACGAAAACGGGACAAATTGATAATTCATGGGAGCAAGGTGATGCGCAGCAGCAATGACGTGGGGGACAACAACAACAGCAGTGGCAACATCGTGGGGGCCAGGGCTAAGGTCGTAGTGCCAGAAGACTCTAGTCAACATCGTCGAGGAGGGGTTTGGTAGCAAAATAATCAAAGAGATTAAAATGAAGAACTTATAAATGTAAAAGTAAGTGATAACCGTTTTCTAAAAGCAACAAAATTTGATAATATTAGGCACAAGGTTTAATTTTAAGGTCGAAGTAACATAAATATAATAAAAAATGTTGTCTTCGTTATAAATATTTATAGAAGTTTAATAAGTTACGGTAAAGTAAACAAAAGCAAATAAGATTGTGTCAATAGAAAATGTGTCGAAAATTTTTGATAAAAATAAATATTTAAGTGCATTGGCTATTGGAAATAATGATATTTATCATTTGACAAGTGAAATTTTGTATAGTGAATCGAATGCAGTGATAAAAAATAAGTGAACAGATAATGAAAAATTTTATGGAACACGAGGTCATGTTAATTTAAACTATTTGAAAACAATGTGTGATGAACAAATGCTTGATAGCTTACTTAGGAAATTGGAAACTGATTATTTAAAATGTAGAAATATTTTCGAAACTAAAATGCATACTTTACTGATAAATAATAACAGATCAAAGGAAAGGAATATTTTAGAAATTGTATCAATTTAAATGTACCTTATAGTTTTACTGGTTCCAATGGTGAGGAATATTTTCTGAGTTTTATCGATGATTACAGTAAAGTAGCTAAAATTTATTGTATTAAATAAAAAGATCAAGTATACAATTGTTTTGTTGACAACGTAAACTCAATTAAAAGTAAGACAGAAAAAAAAATAAAAAGACCAAGATGTGATAGTGGAAAGGAATGTATAATTAAGGATATTTGTTATTTTGCAAGTGAGATAGGTGTATCTATTGAACCATGTCCACCTTATGTACATAAATTAAATGAACGGCAGAAAAATACAACAAAAATATTATGTATATGTCTAGATGTTTTTCGAAAGAAACAAGGGTTTATAAAAGGTTATGGCCAGAAATAGTTAAAACAGCAGCTTATTTGAAAAATAGAATTATTACTAATACTATTGAACAAAATAAAACTCCTTTTGAAATTATGTTTGGAGAAGAGCCTAGTACTNTTTAATTGTGTTTGAGGAAAGCCTATTATAAAAAGATGAAAAATTTTTCGAAGTAGGGTTTTTGTGGGAATACCAAAGGAAAAAGAAATTCAAAATGGGACAAAAAAGCAGACTGAGAAATTTTGTTAGATTATGAAAATGTTGGTTATAGAGTTCTAATAAATAATAAAATAGTAGTTGCAAGACACGTTGATATTATCGAAGATGGCACAAGTTGTATTGGTTAAGAATCAAAAAATGGCATAGTAAAAATGAGTTTTAATGAAAGCAATGTTGAAAACAAAAATAGCTATTTTAATAAAAACGGCAATGATGAAAAAACAAATTTTAATTTAAGATGTTAAACAAGAATAGGATAAGAGCCTGATAGGTTTAAAGATAAAAGTTTCGTAGAGGGTAATATTATTTATGTGAATTATACAAATGCTGATAAATATATTTCTCATAATGATGCGATGAATAGTAATAAGTCTGAAAATTGAAAAAAGGCAATACATGAAGAAATAGGTTATTTAAATAAAAATAAGACTTAGATGTCTGTAAATAAACCAAATGATAAGAAAACTTTAAATTTAATATGGGCTTATACTAAAAAAGCTAGTCATATTTTAAAGTCTAGATAAGTTGTTACAAGTTATCAGCAAAATCATTTAATTGATGATATTTAGTAACTAGTTTCAAGAATGCAAACTTTAGAAATGTTACTTTCTTATTGATGTTAAAATAATAAAATTACTAAGCAGATGGATGCTAAAATACCATTTTTAAATAGTAAGGTAAAATCTGAAGTATACGTGAAACAACCACAAGGCTGTAATGATGGCTCTAATAAGGTATTGAAATTTGTTCAAGCGTTGTATAGATTATGAGATAGCCTAAAAGCTTGGTACAAGTGTTTTGACACTTATTTAGAAAATTTAAATTCTTAAAGAAGTTTAAATAAATAATTGTTGTATATGTATCTCGAATGATGAAAATGACAATGTATATTTCATTTTTTTTGTGGATGACTTATTAATTTGCTGTAAACATAACAAAACACTTTGTTTTGTTTAGTGATTTCGATGTTAATGGTTTCTAGTGAAAGTTTTAAATAGAATAAGTACTGATTTAGATATCAGCATCAATTTTAATATTAGTTTTTGTGGAATATAAATCTAAAATATAAGCTCATCTTTCTGTTTTGACATCTCTGTTATTAATAACCTTGATTTTTTTGGAAAATTAACAATTTATCACTTACATAATTTCTTATTCATAATAAGATTTTCAAGCTGCTTCAAGATATCAAATGAAAAAATCAAAAGAACAAAAGTTATCTAAAATGGGCTACCAAAAATAATACGCCCGAGATTACGGGACGAGACATTAGGGATATTCGCAGGGGTCAACCCAACCATAGTGCAATGGGAGGACCATATCCTGGAAGTTCCGCCTTTTTGATCACGGAACCTTCTGCGCCAGGTGAGTAACATGTTGGCATATAAATAAAAAAATACTATGTATGGCTTAGTTGGCAGACGTAAGAATATATCTACACTTAGTAATATCTCGTCATTTTGAAACTGTTGTCTGTTCTTTATCTTTCATTTTATTTGTATTTTTAATGCACATGTGACCAGTTTTTATTTTTAACACTTTTAGGTAACTGTATTTGATATAAGTAATATTAAAACCAAAGTAAAATATATTACTGCGCAAAAGTGTATATGTTGGTGTTTTATTAGTTCTGTTTATCTATTCATTAACTTATTAATTTCAATATATTTATAAACATGTACACCTAGTTTTGTGTACGTCTATGCATAGCTGTCAAGTCTGAGTTCAGTATGCGCGAACACGCTCCTTGTTACTAATATGAGTGGGTCCGCAAACAGTTGCTACGACTTTTAATGTCCTTAGTGGTGTGATTAAGTCAAATTCATTAACAACATGGTTTTTTTTAATTCCTTATAATAGGTAAAAAGTCTTATTCTTAGAGTTATGATTACAAAAATTCATGAAAACAAAATTAAAAAAATTGTGCGATTCATTATTTTTTTGGCCTTAAAATATAAACAATAAAAAAATAAACACTTAATCAAAATTGTTTTTAAATAAGAAGGAAATCCAGATAATACGTGCATGATTTTCCTATACTTTACAAGAATAACTATCTGTTGGACAATATTTTGTACAAAAGAGTCAACCTACACACCCACGTGCTGAAATAAAGTTATAGTACCGAGTGAAAATTAAAGCTTATGTTGTAATGTAAATTTATTAAGTTGCACCAGTTTGCTGCGCAACGCTGCAGTCAATATAGTTTAAAAACAGTATAAAACACCCCATGACTGACATGACTATCTTTTTTAAACGAATGCCCGTTGGGTTCAAAAATATTTGTCAATAGATGATCATAATAAAAGCAAGAATAAGTATAGTATGACAAATATATTTCACCGGAGTGACGTTAGATAGTTAAGTAAAAAAGTCTTTTTTATTATTTTTATAGTATTGAGGGCCAGATGCAACTAGATCTCTTTGCTTATTTTCGTATGAGCATTCAAGCCCGCTTGTATGTTCTCTATAGTCAACATGCAAATGTCGTTACTAGGCTTTAGTACTAAATGACACTTTGCTTGACAAACAAAGAATGATAACATGCGAAAACTCCTTGTTCCGGAACATACCACTGGTCAACTATACCTTAGTCAGCCAAAAAGCTGTCTATCAAGAAATATTTACAACTCATATTTTCCAGTGAAAGAGAATGTAAAAGTATTTGATGGTAATACAGAATGAGAAAGAGTACTTGCAAAATTCTCGATGGAAAACAAGCAAAGCAGTTGGATGAATCTTTTTCATTGAGAAGACAGACAGCTAAAGCCTCAAAAAAGCTGAGTGTTGTTAAAACTACCCAATATATTTTATTAGCTGCAAACAGAATCAACAAAATGAAGCTACAAAAAAAAATTAATTAATTTCAAAAACTGTGTCCATTTTTCATGAGTTTATTTTACTTTACTATCTGAAATGAATTTTGTTTATCAATATTATGAATATAAAAAAACATACAACCAGGCTGTGTCCCATGACTATTTTTAATAACAAAGATCATTTTTAAAAGCTGTCTGAAAGTTCAAGAAGACATGAGGCAACGCTGTTAGCAATTCAAGGAAGCATATAAAAGCAAATAAGAGTGCATCGTGAGACGTTTTAACAAGGCCATTTATCTGCGAATGGTAAAGGGATGTTCTTGTTTTGCTAGTATCTGAATAGTCCGTAAGAGCTAGAAAGGGGACTTACTTTAACTCTAGCTTTTGGTCCCTTGCAACGATCAGTAGGGCACTGTAGTGGGCCTCTCACCCCTTCATAAAAGCTCTTGCTACTGCTTGAGCTTGTTGGTAAGGTATAGGAATATTCACTGGCCACCTTGTCAGCCTATTGATGAAAGTCGGTCAGTACTGGAATCCAATAATCTCTTTTGATGTAGCACTGCTCAGTGGATGAAAATTTTTTTGAGAGAAAACTGCCAATCACTTGATTTATGTTGTGACTATTGTATTATAAAGAGTCATGAACTATATGATAAGGGTATTAGCTGTTAAGGTCCACTTCTTGAGTAAAGTTGTTTTGAGTACCTTGAGTACACAGGTAACTTGCGAGGGTAGCAGATAAAACTACTTAACCTTAAACATCTTATTTTACTTTTTTGTTAGTCAGGATATGCATAAAGCGAGTGACTTAAAAATGCTTCTTGTCATTCAGCTGCAGTTTCTTAATAAACTGATCTAACCTCTTGTCCTAGGTCACTCAGCCATGAGAGAATAGTCTCTCTAAGGGCCTGAAAAGGGTTGAATGTTGAAAGGTCCTTCAAAGTCTCTAGAAGCTCATTAACTGTAAATGGACTATAGATAGTAAGAGTAAATCTACGACTAGAACATATTTGGTCCTATTGCCTGACGTGCCACTAATGTTAAAACTGCCCTTGGCTGACAAGAACCATGTCTTCAAAGATCTTACCTTCTTATTACTGTGGTTTTTACTCTTGCTGGTGTTGTTTTTGGGTATTGTTGTCTCCAACCTACTGAGTCTCAACTAGGTAACGTAGTTAGCAAAAAAAGGAACTACTAATGTCCAAATTCTTCAGGATGGCAAACATTCTGTTTGTATCTTCTTGCCTTTTTTACAGCTCTAAAACGTTGATCTAAAATGTTGACATCTGAAGGATCGTTCTTCAGGGTCACAAAGAAGATTCCAAAGACAAAGTGGGTGAATGCAGATTGTAAAAAGTACAAGGACTTCCTGTTTGGTGAAAGATAAATGTTCATACTAGTAGTAAAAGCGTGTCTTATTCCTCTCCTTTTTTATATGTATTTTTATTCTTTTTCATTCTTTGGTAAGAGTTGCAAAGGCATTTACCTGGCTTTGGCCTTAGTGACACGAAAGAGTTAGTGTCTGAAGTATGTGCAAGGTAATACTGAAAAAAACCTTTTTTTTACGTGTTCAGCAATTCAGGAGCTACAAATCCTCTTAGATCACGTGAGGGTCACCTTGACATTGTGCCTACTTAAGGTTGAAAGAGTAGTATGAGAAGAAAAGTAAGTAAAAAGACTGATTTTTTTTTAACAAAATACAAAATAGTTTATTAAATACGAAGATAAATAAAATATACACGTTGTTTGTGTTAAGTCGAAAGCCAAAATAACTAAGAAAAATAATGTTGCAAGCTAATCTGGTGGCGTAGCTTGAAACTTCCCTGCCAATAAGTTATGCCATCTGTTGGAGAGCAAGAGTTTTGCGTAGACTTAAGGATTGTCTTAGTTTAATGAGCTTTGACCTAAGATTTTCTATGTATATTAGTAAAACACTATAAGATTCTCTATTCTTTCACTTTGGATTAAAGTTTTTTTTTAGATTGAACAATTTACTATGTATCATATTTGGTGGTACAGAAAAATGTACCTTCCAGCCTAATAACCTTGCTTAAATAAGTAAAGCATTTCTTTTTACTTAAAAAATTTTTCTTAAAGGAATTTTTTATACATTCCTTAATACACACAACTTATTACCTTATTGTCATTTGCAGATAGCAAAAATCATCAGTGCAATGAACATCTTTTGGTAAATACTAATTGTAAGCACTATTACTATTGGAAGAATTTCAATAAAATTTCATTAATCAATCTAAATTATTATAGATTCTCATAGTATATAGCAAAAAAACAAATCCAATTGTTAGAAACCTCATGGTTTCATGTATTAAGCTTAAATTTTTCCACTATAAGTAAGATAAGTAGGTGTATACAATGCATAGTGCTTATAAAGGCAAATCCCCATTTGTATATATATACATATTAAAGTTAAATGTGTAGAGAACTCTGCATCCTCCTACAAGCCTTAAAGTATCACTAACTACCACACACCGTATCTCTACAAATGAAAGTGCTTCTTTCATAAAATGACTATGAACAGAGTTACATAAAACCTTGAGGAATCATTTGTTAAGTTACAACGCACTACCCTCAAAAATTTTAGTGTAGGCTGATGAACATACAGGCAAAAAAAATAAATAAAAAATAAATTCTTATTTTAATCGAAATAAAACATGTGCTTTAATGGCAATTTAATTTTTCGTCACTAAAAGTTTTAGCCTACTCATCTATCTACTAAACAAAATTAAGTAAAAAACTAATAGAATGAAGCTTCAGTTATATTAAACATACTGTGTTCTCAAAATATTTATGTTTATGGGCTTTATAAAGAGATATCAAAAGAATTACAGGCATGCATTTTCGTGCCCTATGTTGAAAAGATAGGTAAGCAATAACTGCTGGTATTTTTAGTTCAAGCAAGACTCTCACATTATTACTTCTACCAAGTTCTATAGCCAACATTATGTTTCATAATTCTTAATCAGTAATTAATTAGGTTAAATAAACAATATTCACAAACAATCGTTTGGAATTAAAACTGTATCATTAAACATGAACTTCATAGTCGTACCGTTGACTCGTAAGTCATGAATGACCACCTGAATAGAAAACTGATGTCATTTCTACATATCTGTAACTTAATTACTATAAAGTTCAAATCCTTCATGCCCTCTCTGCGGTCCTCTAAAGACTTTTCTTTCTCCTCCCACTATCCTCACATAGTTTATCTTGTTTTTCACTATGAGCATAGAATCTTTTGAGAAAGTGATTGTATTATACGCTCTTTCATCCTTTTTTTTCCGACAAGCGTTTGTACATACTTTTTAAAAATAATTTGCTACTTAAAATAAACTTCCTTATTACGTTAGAAGAAGTTTTTTTGTATTAAAAATTTGTTAATCTATTTTTTCAACATTACTCAGGAGACAATAAGATTGATTTAACATTTAATTTTTAATGCTTAGATATGTATGTCATAGTAAGTAGTAGCGAATATTCAAAGTCTATTCAAATAACGTGAATCTTATGAAACAATGTTTGATATTTTTACTTTT